AATAAATTTTAGTGTTTCTAAAGTCAACATCTTACGTATTTGAGTTTCTTTACTGTTACGTTATATTATATTCTACATATGTTTCGAAACACACGTGGACACGCCTTCTTCATATATATATATATATACACATACACTACTGTAGGCCTCTGGCCTAACTAGGCCCTTGACCTGCGATCCTTGTCTAGGCCCTGGCCTAGGCACATAGCATCAATTCAGAATCTGAATGCCAATACGCCAACATTCAAATTTACGCCAACATTCAAACAGAAATCCATCGCTTACCAATTATACAACAGGTCTTATCTTACTAACTCTATTACTACAGGTCTTATACTTACTCGATTACAATCAGTGCTAAAGACTGCGAGATTGAGTATTTGGGTTTGACACCATTGACCTATCATGCTCCTAGCACTAATGAATACACTATTTGGTATTTGACATGGTTAATGACCGCTATCGTTAATCATTGTGAAGATATGTCTGATAAAATTAATATTGATCTCGACAACATTGCAAACTGGTTGTATTGTAACAAATTAAACTTAAATATCAATAAAACAGAATTCATGGTAATTGGAACACACCAAAAATTGATAAAAAAAGAGTTAAATTTGGAAATTGAAGGTACACGCTTAAAAAGAGTTTATCAAAGTAAACATTTAGGTATTGTAATTGATGAGAATCTTTCATGGACAAAAAAAATTGAACATATTACCAGGCCTTTTTTATCTTAAGAAATCTAGTGAAATTGTTCCAAAATCCATTCAATGCACACTTTACAAAACTATTACTGCCCCACACTTCCAGTATTGTAATGTTGTCTGGGGAAGGTGTAATAGTAGTAGGTGTAAAAAGCTACAGGTTTTACAAAATAGAGCTGCCAAAATTATTACAAAGATGTCCAGTTATGATTCAAGCTCTGCAGCTCTCAAAAAATTAAACTGGAACAGGCTTGATACAAACCATTTTCACAACGAAGCTATTACAATGTACAAGATTATGAATAATATAAGCCCACAATATCTTATTAACAGATTCAGTTCTAAAGAAAGCCCACATAATACCAGATCTAAAGACAAACTTTATCTATGCAAACCTCTAACTGAATACAAAAAGAAAAGTTTCACCAATCATGGATCAAAATTATGGAATTCATTATCAGAAGAAGCAAAAAATGTTAAAGATTTAAAGAGTTTTAAAAATATTGTCAAACCTGACCAGTTTTTGAAACCGCAGATTTTATTATTTCGAATTTGAAATTGTTTAAAAGTAGTATTTAGTTCCTAATTTTTACAGTTGGTAGGTTTTTACTTTTCCATGTTTGTTTTCCCTTTCTTTTATCATATCAGTAGTTTAAGAACACGGCCTCTTGGAAGACCAACCTTTGTAAAAAGATTGAAATGAGTATCCGTGGATAAATAAAGTTATTATTATTTTTATCCCAAGCCCTGCAAGACCTTATGGTTAAGCCTTGATTCAAAACTATTTCATAATGAAGCTACTAATATGTACAAGATTTTTCATGGCAATGCACCTTCATACCTTAGGGATAGATTCATATTAAAAGAACCACAGTATAACACAAGATCAGCAGATATCTTATATTTAGAAAAACCAAAAACTGAATACAAATAAAAGAGTTTTACCTACCATGGTGCCATGCTGTGGAATAATCTTAATGACAATGTTAGAAATGCACCAAGTCTAGTCAAATTCAAACAGTTTATTTTATCTTGAGTGTACAATTTCACTCTGTTTGCTCACCTTCTATATACTGTTAAATGATTTTTTAGTATTTATGTATTGTGTTTCTTAATCTTCTGTTCTTGATACTTAACTACTACATAAGAAGGTATAATGCATGCTCCGGGTATTGGGATGCGTGCCATCGTGTTTGGGATTCAGTGTTTCGGCATTGATTTTGTCATCATCAGGCATAATGATGACATGATTAATGTCGGAATGCTGGGTCCGGGCGCGCTGGTGTGCATTTGGTTACTTGGAGTGTGTATTATACTTTCTTATCTGAGATTTTTTTTTTACTACATTGTGTTTGCTTTTATTGTTTTATACTACTTATATTTATACGGCCTTGCACGGCCTTGATGAAAAACACCCTTTGGTGAATCAAGTTTTACCGTGTTGAAATAAAGTATTTATTATTATTATTATAGGCTGTGTGAGGCTGTATGGTATTAAAACATCATTCTTAATACCTTTCTATGGGATGCCAACTAGGTCAATTTTAATTTGAAATCTGCATAATAATAGCAAATGTCGCTTTTTCGTCATTCTGTAAAAACGAAAATCATAAAAACATATATTTTTGAAAATTTTGAGGGTGTTAGACTAATACCTTAATACACCCTCCACTATGCCCCTTATATATCTGTCTCTTATACACATCTAGATGTGTATAAGAGACAGATACAGATAATGAATGTGATACATTTCATACACCAACCTATTTACAGTTGCAGAATGCCACACCTTCGGTACGCCAAGGTCAAAGACAGTGGCAGCTTTTGGATAATTTTTTTTTTTTTTGGGTGGGGCCCCCCTAAGCTGTCTGACTATCGAGCTTGATCTTGTATGCATGACCCCCTCCCAGACTTGCCAACCCTTGGGTCATGAAAATCTGGAGTTACCTTTTCTTACACTTCAGTACTTCTTGTTGGATGATTTAATTAAAGCCACAGACATGATGTATTAACATAAGAGTTTCTTACTCAAAAACATTTCTTGATATTACTACTTGTTGTCTAATGTAACTTGTACTTTTACTTTCATTGGCATGTTGATTATAAAAAAGTAATCACAATAGTTTATTCATTTATCGAAAACTGTATTGTCTCTTAAGGAATACAAAGAAACGTTTTTATTGATGGTAGTTAAATTGGTGTTAATGATATTTTTTCTGTTGAATTATAGCTGTATATTATCCTTATATTAATTACATCATAATTTTATGTCTTCCACAGGAATTGATGCTGAAGCTGCTGCAATTAGTGAGTGCTAGTTTAATATCATTGAAGAAGAAAAACTTTGTTTACTTTCATTTTAAGTTCAACAAATATTTTCTTTGAATTGCTTGTTTATATAAGTGATGGTAATGTTAATAATATTAATTTTACTATAGATCTGTCTTTAAAACAGGTAATAGTGCTTTATTTTCATTGCCATAATGAGATTTTAAAATGGATGCAAAACAGTTTTTAGAAATCTGGTGATTTATAAGTTTTATATGTTAAAATATGCTCTAATTAGTTATTTTTTTAAAAAAGAGTAATTTGGAGCATGGACGGTAATGGAACACGAATTTAAACATTGTCAAGTTTTTTTAAAACCCTCTGTTAGTTGGTAATGCTACACAAATTTCCCCTTCATGTAACCTACATATCAGTCTGACAGCATTGAAATACAGTCTGCCGCCCTCTCGTTCTATGTTTTCTATATCTTTTAAGAAAGATAGATAAAAAAGCTGTAAAAATTCATTCTTTTTGACCATGATGACGTGATTAAAATGAAAAATAAAAAGACACTTCCGAAAGATTATTGTCTCAGCTATAACATACTCACAGGTAGGAGACGATCGAAAAAGAATAAGCGAGAAACGTTTAAATGAGTTTAAAAATATAGATGTTATAAATAAAAATTCAGTTTTTTTTTTAAAATTCAAATGGCAATATGATGACGTCACAATGTCCGATCAGCCATAATGATCTATAAAATCATATCTGCAACTCGTGCTTTCAGAATATGGAATAATAATTGGGGGTCACCTTTCAACCAAAGGAGCCATAACTGATTAAAAAAAATAGGCATATTTTTAAGCATACAGTATATAAATGTTAACGCACGCGTACGCACACATTAAGATGCGCCAACGGAAAATTGTGGTATCTGACATTCAACCTTGACCTGAAGTGTATGCCCATTAAATTTGATATAGAAATGACGAATGGTTAAGATGATTATGGGGTCTTCAATGTTTTGAGGCAATAGAAGATTATGGGGTCAGAAAAAACATTTATTTTGACTATAGTACAAGAAAAACACATCTTAGGGTTGAAAAAATTGCTGAAACAGAATTTCTGTTTGCACAGTGCATTTTCTTAAGGTCTCTGTATGAACATACTAAAAGTCTAGAAAAATCCACATAGGGGAAGTGTGTTTTTTCAAAATGGCAAGTTTTAACCAAAAATTGAAAAAAACTTAACATATTTCAGCATATTTTTTTTTTTTTAATATATTTACAAATCCTAAAATGGTTCTGATGCATACAGGTACACTTATTTGATGTGGGTATCATTAATTTCAAGATGGCTGCCACAAATACAACGACATATTTAGTGGTGTATGCATAATACGCCAGGCAGCTATAGTGCCATATGGACGTTTTGGACAAAAGCACATGCTCCTTATGGTAATAGCTTTCAATTTTTGATAGAAACCATTTTATCGGAGGTCATTATGGCAGCCATATTAGATTTAAAAATGGCCACCTTATAAAACCTATGTATGGCCACCTTATAAAACCTATGAAACAACCCCTGTTGAAAATATTTTTAAATTACAAAAGCGAGCTCTCAGGATTTATGCAGGGACAACTCATATTTCCCATACCAAACTTTTATTTTACAGATTTAGTGTTCTAAATGTATTTGAATTGCATAAATTACAAAACCATGTTTTTATGTATCGCTTTAGAAATGAAACATTACCCCCACATATTTATAATCTATTTCCAAAACAACAGTCTGACATACATGATCATAATACTAGATTTGCTAAAAGTAACATTTTATTTGAAAAATATACATCCTCTTCTAGAAAAAAAATCCATATTTTACACTAGTCCAAAATTAGCGAATTCCTTAAAAACTTCCTTTAAATCGTTACCTGATCTCAACTCTTTCAAATACAATCTTAAAAAGTCTCTGGTCTCGGAGTATGGTGGGTAAGTTTCCTGGTCTGTCTGTCTGTCAGTCAGTCGTTCTTATTATACTTAACGGACTGCTACAATATGTATGCGTTTGTTAGTGCGTGTGTTTGTATATATATATATATATATATATAT